AAAACTGAGCTCTTGTGGCACAGGGAGGACACGGGCTGCAGAGCAGTTTCAGGAGAATGAAGGGGATGCTGCAGGTGGGATGGGAAGAAGATGAAGGGCAGAAGTGGCCAACAGGCCTTTCATTGTGTTTGGAAGAGCTAAGAGCCTTGAACTGGCCCAAACATCCCGAGGCAGTCTCTGAAAGCAACTGTGGAGGAAGAAGCTGGCACCTTTCTCCCCTCCCTTCAATGGGTGGCTTGGAAGTGGGGGAAGCAGCCAGGAATCCTCGGGGCACCCTTCTCCCACCAACTGCCCCCTGGGGCTGGAGGGAAGCCAGGCTGCCAGCCAACTGGGCTTGGGAGTGCACCCCAGTAGGAGCAGAAGGAAGCTGCGGTGCCACCCCCACCCCATCACGGAGAGGAGAGGACGTGCTGACACCAGTGCCCAGACCCAGGCCCTGGGCTGGGGGCTGGTGGGGGTGGGTCCAGGGGAGAGAGATGGCTGCTGCCAAAGCTCTGGGTGTGGACAAGGAGTCTTTGTTGACTTTCCTTCTCTAAGCTTAGTGTCCTCACCTGAAAATGAGGGCTTTGTTGGACCAGGTGCCGAAGGTTGCTTCTAGCCTTGCCTTTTGGGACTGGTGAGAACACAGGGGAAGCAGAGAGAGAGGAAAGTGCAGGAGAGGCTGTGATTTAAGGGAAGGACAGGAACTGAGCCCCGTGCCTGGGGGTTTGGTGTGTCTGCAGGCAGCTGGTGGCTCCAGACTGGGCGCCCAACACGTAAAGGAGAGGCGGAAAGACTCCCTACATGTTGATGACATCAGATGAGGAAGCTGAGGGCCAAGGAGCTTTAAAAGACTCCCACGAGGTCACATGGGTACCAGGCAGGAGACCTTTGTCCACTCTAGGGATGGAGGGTCGGTGCAACTTCATGCGCCGACTCCGATAGATCCATGGGACAGTTGGCAGCATCACACTGAAGGGAGTCCATGACCGATGAGCAACGGTGGCCACAGCCTTGGGAAGAGGCAGTAACGGCATGGATGCCCAGATTTGCTGTACTCACTGATTCATTTAGTGGATTGTTAGCCAGACGCTACTTCATGCAGGGCACTGGCAGTTACACCGAGGAGTCAGTGGTGAGGAAGACAAGCCCCTGCCCTCAGAAAGTTTATGTTCCAGAAGGGGAGAATGACACTATCCATGTAAACCCATGCCTGAGCAGTATAATCTCATCTAGTACTGAGGAGTATAAGGAACATAGAAGAGTGGCAGTGTGGGGAGTGAGGAGGAGATCGAAGTGGTCGGGGGTGACCTTTAAGTAGAAACCTGTATTCTGAGAAGAGGCAGCCCTACGCAGGAGCTGGAAGAGGAGGGTCCAGGCAGAAGGAACAGCCAGTGCAAAGGCCCTGTGGGGAGAGCAGCATCGAGGCTGCTTAGATGGCACGGAGGGGTCAGGGAGGGAGATGGGAGAGGTGAAGCCTGCTGTCTGCTCAATGAGCTCACTCACACATGCGACAGGTCTCCCAAGCAGCCAGTCCAAAGTGACACTCTCAGTCCCAAGCCCACACCTCCAACCAGACTGCTCCTCCCCAAGTCTGTCCTTCTCTTCCCATAAAGGAGTACCCACAACATCTTTTAAAGGAGAATCTGAAATTGATCAGAGCCACATGAGCATTGAGCCCCAATTCAGTGCATACACATTCTTCTAGTTGTCCCCAAAATGACAGTGTTTCCAGCGTGGTTCTTGGGACTGGGCATTAATTATCATAGGGCCCACTTATCAGGTACCTGCAGTGCTCTTGGTCCTTGTGGCAGAGCATTACAATAACCCTGCAAGAGGGGTATGATTTTCATCCCTCCTGGGACCAGCCCCTTACCATAAGTCCCCCTGCTGGTAGATGGCTGAGCCAGGGTTTGCAGGAGGTCTCTCTGATGCTAAAGCCCAAACTCTTGCTTCTATACTGAACTTCCTCCAGGACTCAAATGGGCAAAGGATGACAGGTGCAGAGAGAGGTGTCTGGACCTCAGTCTAGGTGTTTTCCTTTCATTCCAAATCAGAGCCTGCTCCCTGGGTTCCTTGGCACAACCTCAGCCTGGACAGATAAGCAGTTTAGCACCTTCTGCCCACCCAGCCCTGGAGAGGTGAAAGTGTTCTAGTTCTTATCTGGTCTGGCTTTCAGTCTGCGTCCCTCCACCTGCTCCCTCTCATGTCCTCTATGTTGCCAGGCGGTTGGTCACCTTCCTGCCATAGGCTGTTGTAGCCCATACCCAGATGCCCTTCAGCCTGTTGGCCTCTTGATCAGGAAGCATTCCCGTGGGAACCATGGTGCCAACATCCGGTCAGAACGGGCCCTCTGATACCTCCTGGCCCTGCTGCCTCTGCTTTCGGCCTCAAGAACAAAGGAGCTCGCTGCCTGCCGCCCCGCATGCTGTGTTTGCCCAGGGCGAGGCCTAGGCTGGCACAGATGCTGTGCAAACAGGAGTGTCGGCTTCACAGATCTGCCTCACAGGTAGCAGGGCTCCAGCTGGGAGGTGTTGCTGCTAGGCTACCTGCTGAGGTGTTTACCCTGTCCATCTCCAATCAGCACCCAGGGTAGAGGGGACCGTGGGGCAAGCAGCCCACTCTCTGGGCCTCAGGCTTTCCAGCTGTGCAGTGGGAGAGCTGCACGAGATGACCTGGAAGACCCCTCTGTGGGCCTAGGGCCTTGAGCAATGTTGCTGGAAATCTCTAGGGCTTGAGAACAGATCTGGGAGGCAGTGAGTACCTCCCATGGGGGTGGGGGTGGGATCTGGGCCTCTGTCTCAAGGCACCCTCACCTCCACTGCTGCTTCAGCCTCATGTACCCCATGTGCCCCTGTCTGGCCAGGACTGACCTCTCTCAGAGCAAGGTCCTCGAGCACTGCCTCTGTGGCCCCACTTACCCCCGTGGAGCTTCCAGACTGGAACTAGGGTACTTCACAGTGAGATGATTAGGTGCCACCATCTTGCTTCTGAGGCCACCTAGGATCTGGTCTCTCACTCTCTGCCTCCAGAAATCTTAGGGCATCGGGGCAAGGCTCAGAAGGCCCGTGGAAGCACGTTTCTCCAGTTAGGGCAGTGAGAGGCTGCACACTGATAGTGATTCTCAGATTTTAGTGTGCACCAGGGTCATCTGGAGTACTTGTTTAACATACAGAATGCTGGGCCCGTGTCTCAGAGATTCTGAGGTCCAAGATCTGAGGTGCAGGGGGTGGCTCAGGATTCTGAGTTCTTTTTTTTTTATTTTATTTTAATCATTGTTCAAATACAGTTTTCTCCCTTTTACTCCCAGTCCAGGCCCCCCCGCAACCCTCCCCACTTCCCTCCCATTACCACCCTCCCCCTAGTTTTTGTCCATGTGTCCTTTAAGTTTGTTCCCATGAACCCTTCCCAATGTCCCCTGAAATTCCCTCTTCTCTCCCCTGTGGTCATTGTCAGCCTGTCCTCTGTTTCAGTGTTTTTGGTTATATTTTGCTTGTTTCTTTGTTTTGTTGTTTAGGTTCCTGTTAAAGGTGAGGATTCTGAGTTCTTAACAAGCACCTGAGTGATCCTTAGATCTCTGATGAAGAGCAATGAGTTAGTCTAAAAGCTGTACAGTCTTCTGTTCAAACCCCACTGCTGCCACTTATTAGTACTGTGACATGGAGCTAGTCACTAAGCCTTTCTAGGTGTCAGTTTTGTCTGTAACATTAGGCTATAATAACATCTGCCACTTAATAAATGAGACCTATTGTCCCAGAGTGTTTATTGCACCTTATAAATTTTGTTGATCAAATGGGGTAGAAGTCCAGTTTTCTAAACCAGAAACCTGCAGTTGGTTCTCTTTGATGTCTTCATCTACCACATATCTCTCAACTACTCAGTCACAAACCCCGAGAACTCTTTACCTCCTAACGCATATTAGACCCGCCCATTTCTCTCCCCCTCCATGCCACTGCCCTAGCCCAGGACACCATCTTCTACCTGACCACTGTACAGCTTCCTCTCTGAGCTGATTTCCACCCTTGTCTCCTCCCACCCATACTTCCCAGAGCCGCCATGCTAATCTGATTGGGTAGTGCCTCTGCTTCAAACCCTAGCTCTCAGGAAGGTCTTATGAATCTGAAACAATTCCTCGGGTTCCTCCACACTTCTAAGCTTTCTTTCAGCCCCTCTCAGACTCTGCACTCAAGAGCTTCACTTCTCCCAGATTCCTTCAATGAATATCAGTCTCTCTTACCCTGGCACTTCACACAAAGTGTGTTTGCTCTGCCTGAATCAACCCCCCCCCCCAACTCCCCAAACACACATACTTCACCTACCACTCATCATTCATATTCAGCTTGAATGTCATTTTCTCAGTACCTGACAGAGCCATGCCCCTCACATGTGCTCTAGGAACCGTCTTTCCTTCATAATACCTGTTACTCTCGGCTGTGATGACTTCATGCTTGCCTCCACCACTAAACTAGCTCCAAGGGAATGCAAAGCTCTGCCTTAGCCATTGCTGTAGCGCCAGCAGTTACTGGAGTCTGGCTCAGAGAAGGATAAGATACGTGGCTGAGTGAGTGATGAAGGAACAATCGAGTGAGAAGGCTCTGGTCGCAGGGTATGTCGAGGTGAGTGCTTTCAGGTGAGACCTAAATTGAATTTAGGGTCTGAACCTCTCTGCGGAAAAGACAGCCATGTGGGGGCGTCCCTGGGCATATATAGGCCACAGGGGGGCGCCCCGGGTTCACTGTATCTAGAGAGCAGCTTCTGGTTTACTAATCGCCAATGGGCGACAGGAGGCGGGTTTTCCCTGTGATGGACAGTATTGCTCCGCCCAATCTAATTCATCTTTTCCTTGATCCCGCCCAGTCGGGACCTTGAGGATGGGCTTGGTGGAGGCGCCGCCAATTGAACTTCAACAGAGAGCTGTCAGGGCGGAACCAGCCGTCCTGATGGTCTGTGAGTGGGCGACCGGTGAGTAGAGGCGGGGCCTCAGCTTTAACAGGCAGAGGGCCGTTCCCGCCCCTCTCGCCCAGAGCGGCCGCGCCAGCTCTAGGTACCGCAGAAGTGAGTACGTGAGCGCCGCGGCAAGATCCGTCCTTTGCCTTCCGACGGCCTGAGTGCCGGGAGTCCCGGATCAAAGTCGAGCCCGCAGCGCACCTCCGGATTACCGCGCACCCCGAACTACCACTGCTTGCTCCCTCTCACCCCGGTCGGCCTTCCCTAGTTTTGCATTTCCGAGCTCTCCAGCGCCCCGGATCCTCTTGGACCGGTCCGTCCAGATTCCCACGGGATCGACCTGCTAGCATCGCCGGATCGGAGCGTTGCCTCGGCCCCGGAATCGCTCGTCTCGACTGCACCCTCTCTTTGCTCGATTTCCTGTCACCGTTCACGAGTCCTCCTCGCAGCCCGACGAGCGGACCTTCACCCGGGTGTCCGCAGCCCTGCCGGCGCGGCTTGGCGCGGCCCGGCTCGGCTCTCGGAGCCCGCCTGGCCATGGCCCGAGCCCGCCCACCACCGCCACTGCCGCCACCCGGGCTCCTGCCGCTGCTCCCTCCGCTGCTACTGCTGCTGCCTGCTTGCTGTCATGCTCTGGAAGGTGAGCAGCGTCGGGGTGCGCTTCCACGGATTAAGGTGCTTGGTCTCCCTAGCGTGGGCCGGAGAGAGCCCGCAGGGTGGTCCGGTGCGGGCTGAGCGTACGTCGGAGAAGGGTCCCCCACCTTCGCCTGCTCTAGGGGCTGGAGGACTGGGTGGTGAGGATGCTCCCAGAGACGCCTCCGAGGCTCCGGCTTGTTCCGAAACCAGTGGTCCACGGGTTGTGAGATCGCGGGCAGTTTGACTCGGGTGAGCGTCCCGAGAGTCCTGGCCCCACGATGCGCTTTTGTGAGAGTACCCCGCGGAGAAGCGGGGCCTTCGGGACCTCCAGGAGGCGAGGAAGTGTGGGCGACCCGCAGGCAAGGCGGAGATTCTGAAGGTGCTGCCGAGTTGTGTCGGGTGGGGGCAACACAGGACTCCCCAGGTTGGGGCCGGCGTTGGTTTCGAGCCCGTTGGAGATAATTATGAGTATGAGTGCACGCACCCCGCTTTGTCGGGGAATGGCTGCGGGGGTGGAGAGGCGGGTGCCTGTTATTGTTTGTGGTTTACCGAGTGCCAACTGCACACGAGGTGCTGTGTGCGTGGACATTGCACACCGCTCTGTGGATCCCCCTCCACCTTCTTGCAGGACACCCCCGAGTGCTCGGGTCTCCCTCGAACCCATGAAGTGGTGGGGTTTGCCCCAGGTAGCACTGCAGCCAGGTGCCTTACCCATTTAGCCAGTGGGAAAAGGCCGGGCTTCTCCATGGTTCCGTGAAACCTGCCCAGACTGCTGCTGAGAGGATGGCTCCAACTTCCAAATGACTGTACTTGGATGAACAGCCCAAGTGTTGTTTGCCCTGGAGGGAGAGCTCACACACTTGCCACTTGCCACAAGCCTATGGAGGACAGGGGAACTGACACTGGACACAAACCACACACACACACACACAGTTTCAAAAAACTTGGAGCTATGGAATGAGGAAAGAATAACCTGTAATGTGGAAGAGAGGGCAGCACAAAAAATTGGGGAAAATTAGAATATAGGCAGTACTTTGATGTCTTTAACAGATCTAGTCACTTTCTTAGTTTAAGAACAAAACCGACTTCTGTTCCTACGTTCACAGTGGGGGTAAGGTTAAAGGGTGGAAGGAAAAAGAAAACCATAGTTCTGAGAGAAAGGTATCTTCTGGGACTTTCTGATTTTGTCCATGGAGAAAATGTTCCTATGTACTCCCTGCACTTCCCACCGCCCGCCCCCCCCCCCGCCCCGCCCCACTGCTTTTATCTCTGAGCCCTCTGGTTGCTGACAGACCGATTCACACGGATGGACACATGCAAATTCAGACAGACACACCAAGGTCGCGCCCACACTTGCGCACACTCATCCACATGTGTGTGATAGGATCGCTGGCATGAGAAGCCAGTGCGGGCTTTGTTGTTGGTTGCCTCAAGGGTGTGAGCCAGCGAGCCTGTTGAAGTTCCCAGGTCCGTGTCTCGGCCCAGGAGAGGCGACACAGGCACACACGCTTATGGGGCTACATGTGCTGGCTCCAGGGCCCTTGCTGTGGGGCGCAGTGGGCGCTGGTGCTCAGGATGGGGCGGGGGTGTGGTTTGGGTCAGTGGTGCTAGGACTACCTGAGGAGGCTCCCCGCTTCTCCCTGTCTTTTTTCCTCCCCTCCTCCTTTTCAACCCTCACATTCTGCTAGGCCTCTGAGGCAGGCCCTAGCTGGGAGCTGGTCTCTGGAGACCAGGGAGCAGAGGGAGGGGCTGACTATGAGGCCAAGACCTGGTGAGCTGTGGCCCCTACCCCATCCCTCTCCTCCCCCGTCAGCTGTGAAGTGGGCTCTGGGGCTGCTCTCCTGCTGAGAGGCTGGGCCAGTGTGGGGTGCCCCTAGGAAGCAGCAGTGCCTCCCAAGCGTGGCTTTCACCAGTTCCTTCCGCCAACTCCAGACCTTAGGGTCCTTGGTTTGTGTGTGAGAGAATGAAAGGAAAAAGAGAGATACTGCAGGCACTGATCACAGCCTAGACGGCACCCCTACCCACCCTCCAGTTCTCCCTCACAGTCGGATGGGATCGTACCCACGTCCTAGGGCTGTTGTGAGGATTGAATCCTTAATGTGTGTGGAGTGCTGAGCACATAGCCATTGTTATTCCAGGATTAGCTGTTATTATTATTATCCCAGGGTTTGCTCCTTAGGGAACATCAGAAGTGAAAATTTACAGTTGTGCCCTTCCCCTGCTGGAGAGTGATTATAGGACAGAATAATGGGGAGAGGGAAGGTCGTCCAAGGAGGGAGAAGTTGTCACCCCACCTCCCTCCCCTTTTAGCTCTGGGAGGGAAGGGGTGAGATGGGCAGAGCTGTCCCTGACTCCAGCCTGTCCCCCACCCCTATTCTGGATGGAGCTGGATGGTGGGATGGGTAGGCTTGGATGTCCTGGCTGCGACTAGGGGACAAGCACTGAAGATCTCTTCAGTGCCTCAGGCTTTCTGGGCAGGGGACCTAGTCTCCTTGCTCCAGCCTTCCATTTAGCTTTGCCAGAATATGGTTTTCCCTTGGCCTAGGGGAGACCTTGGCTCCCTGAACCTCCAGTCGTTATATTTAGGCTCAGGGTGTGTGAGCTGAGAATGCAGCCCCGCGTGGACCCGCTCGTTAAATACTGGCTAGCACCCAGTTGCTCTGCCCTCCCTGCACACCTGGGCTTCTGCAAAACTCTGTATCAAAGGATCGCGTTAGTTTTCCATGACGATGGAGCCAGAGTCCTTGCTTGTCCTCCCTGGTTGAAGAAATACCCCGCCCCTTGCCCTTTGACTGGTTACCCCACCCCCGACACACACACACACACACACACACACACACACACACACACTGCCCTCAGATTTACCCACAGACACAGGGAAACAAGGCCACCTTGTTGGGTCTCCTTTCCAGCAGTGTTCCCAGTCTCCCAAGTGAGACCACCCTCCCTTTCAGGAACAAGAATGGGAGTGGGACCCAGTCGGCGAGCAGACCGGGACCGGGGTGTGGGATGAGGAGGGCTGTTGGGACCAGAGTCCTTGCACCTGAGACAGGAGGGGGCAGGCCCCTGCTGGGAATGGCAGACCCTGTTGAGAAAATGGAAAAGCAGTTGTGAGGTGGGAGCCGCCGCTGCCGGCCCCCTCCTGGCCAAGCCACGATAGCCGAGCTGCAGCCGCAGGGGAACCGGTTCCTGAGGCACAGGGGCAGTGCGTGAGTCCGGCCCTTTCTCAGGCTGCGGCACTGACCACTGACCACTGCGTATGTGGTGACTGAGCGGGACAATGGCCTGGGATTTTTGCGGCTGGCTCACTTGTTTGAGTTGCCTCTGCTCCCCCGCCCCCGCCACCAGTCCCTGTTTGTCATGAGCCAGCACTTCAGAGCTCCTGCTGGGAGACAGTGGCAGGTATTCTGGGAACCAGTTTGCTTGTCACTGCCTTCCCTTTAGACAGAACTGCTGCCGCCGCCTCTGTGGCCTCGGTGGCAGCGAGCGAAAGCTGAAGCTGCCATGGGCAAGGCCTCCGCCACCCGGCCTTATACTAATTAAACAGCGTGAAGAGGCTGAATCACCAGGGCTGCATAGTTTGAAAATTGTAGCCCTGCCTGTTGTGCTGAGTCAAACTGGTTTGTCGGGATTGGCAACTGGAGGAGGGGAGTGCTGGGGAGGCAGCCTGGGTACAGCTGGACACCTGATGGGGTGGGAGCGGCCTCTTGCCCCCAAGGGCTGCCCTGGCACCAGGTCTCTTGTTGTCTTCTGTCCCCAGACTCCTGGCCAGACCCACTGTGACCCAGATCCCTGGGAAGGGCTGTCTGTCTGTCCAGCCTTGTGACAGGCCGGTGGGGCCAGGACTCGGGTAGGGGGCATGGATGAGCACCGAGGCAGCTGGGCTCCCTGCCCTTTGCTTTTTCCTCCCTTCTCCTCCCTCTCAGGTTTATTTAATTATAAACCCCCATGATCTGAGGAGAAGAATGAAAAACAAAATGTGTTCTCTGTTCTGAGATGCTCCGCACCCCTCTCTCCAAGACATGAGTGCCAGGGGACCATGGTGGGGGCAGATGGATGGGAAAGGTGGCCCTGAGTGAGTTAGGCCCTCCAGGTCCCCTGGCAGAGAACCCCAAGACGCCTAGGTCCTCACCAGAGAAGACTGGGGACAGATCGCTGGAGTTGGTTGGCTGAGGTGGGGACCCTCTGTGTGGGGGGGTTGGGGGGTGCAACTCAGGGGAGGCATGCAGCTCTTCCTTTCTGCAGGCAAGGCTCTGGGACGCACCTTCTCGCCCAGGCCACAGCCTCTCTGTCCTCCTGCCCCTGCACAGGGTGGTGCAGCGTGGCCTTTTCCACCACCTCAAAGCCCCGTTGCCTGGAGTTGGGCCGGGAGGCATCTCGCTTCTTTCTCTAGAACTTTTGGTTCCCTGTGTCTCACCAACACCCGTTTACAGGGTGGGGGCTGTGGGGCCTTGGAGTGTGGGGCCGGCCGGGGCTGGTGGCAGGCTCCTAGCTGGTGCTGCTTCACTAGGATGACCCAATGAGGCTCTCAGACACAAGCCCTGTTCTCCTCGTGCTGGACCCCCCAACTTAGGTGTGTAAGTGTTGCTCGAAGGTCCTGCGGCTAGATCTCTTCATGATGCCACCCTCTCCCCAAAGGCTCAGGGGCCCTTGGGACAGTGCCATTGTGCTGGCAGGGAAGTGGCCTGCTCCTTGGCCACAGGCTGCACTGGGGAGGCTGCACCCAGCCACACCCAGAATCATCTTCATGCCCCTGCCCCACCCCCCGCCTTGTGACCTTTGCTGCCGGGGCGCAGGGAAGCACGTCTGCACCTCTAGTCAAGGTTGCCCCAGTACCACTGCTCTCCTAGTGGACACTGCCCCCTCCGAACCCCTGCCATGGAGAGGCCTTCCATGCAGCGTGTGTGTGTATGTTGCACGTGCGTGAAGGGTGCACCTCTGAGGCTTTACTCAAACTCTAGATGTTTACACTTACGTTGTGTCTGTACGCGCCTGTCGCGTGTTTCAGTGCCAGGGGGCCTCTGTGTGTGTGACTGTGTAAGACCACGTAAGAGTCTGTGCAGGAGAGCTGGTGTTTGTGTTTGCACTTGCCCACACTCAAGACTGGAGCCTGTGACTGGCAGTAGTGTGTGCAGTGGTGTGTGTCGGGAGAATGTTGGGTGTGTGTCCCTCTGCAGACGCCGGTGTCAGGAAGTCTGCACCTATGTGGACAGTGTGAGTGCGTCTGGGTCTGCGGCCAGGAAAGATGTTCTGTGTGTGAGTGTCTGAGGAAGCCGACGTGCTCGCCCGGTGTATCTGGGAGATGGACCACCGTGGCTGCGTGTGAAGCTGTGTGTGCGTCCGTGGGCAGCTGCGGCTTTGCGTGTGTTTGTCCACCGTATGTGTTGACTTGTCGCTCCTCCGCCGCAGCGGTGGGGAGTGAGCCTAGCCCCCGAGAACTGCACAAAACGTGTGCGTCTGTGTGTTTGTGCACAGGCGAAGGCCACAGGGAGGCCGCCACGTGGCTGTTCTCTGGCGCTCTGCGGAAGTTTGAAAGCGGTAGTGCCTCACTTCTAAGCATCTAAAGGCCTAGTCCCAGAATGTCCCCAGGCCTGGGGTCCACTTCCCTGCTTGCTTTTGGGGGGCCTTCGGTGTTCCCTCGCTGACCCAGCCCTGTATCTGGGAGTGGCCAGCTGCCCTGTGGTCCCCCTCCAGCAACCACATGATGGAACAGAGGAGGGTCGGGTGCAGGCAACAGCTGGGCGTTTGGAGACTGCTCACTCACTTTTCTTTTGTCTTTATCCGCCGTACCTCATATCCTTTGCCCCAGCCCCAGCGCACACACCCACACCACACACGGAGCAGAAAAAAAGGTGGGCTCTGCTGGGTTGGGACTCTCCCTCCCAACAGACGGGGGCTCTGTCCCCCTCCCTTCCACTCACACCCTTCCAGAGGCTGGGATTGTTTGCGAAGGGAACAGACCCCTCCCCTCCCCCAGAGAGCCAGCCCCCTCCCCATCAGGGTGACCGGAGCCCTTCCTCAGGCACACAGGACTCGAAATCCAAGTCCTCTCCTCATTAATGGGAAAAATGTGCCGAGATTGAGCGATGGCCAAGGCTGAGCGATGGCCAAGGGCCGATCCCCTCCCTCCCTCTCTCGCTCCCCAGAAATTAAACAGAAATGAAGAGCCTCCCCCTTTCTCCTGCCCGCCCCCCTCCTCCCACCGTCCCCCTCTCCCCTCCCCTCCCTCAGAGCCAGCGCAGGGCTTGTTTTAAACTGTGGAGGAATCTGGCTGGAGGGGGGAGGGGGCTGAATATTTGGGTTTAAACAGTTCCAGATGGGTTTGGCACAGGCCGAGCAGAAGGAAGTGAGGGCGAGGGAGGAGGGAGGCAGCCGAGGGAGCAGCGCGGGCGGGTGGCGGGCAGCGGGCAGACAAGCAGGCGGACTGGCTGGCTGGCTGGGGGAGGGGTGCTTTGGGCTGGGCTGGCCCGGCTCCCTGGGACAGGACTACATCGGGCTGCTGGCTGGGGTAGAGGCCGCTTGGCAACCTCCCTCTCTGCCTCTGTCTCCTTGGGCCTCCTTGTCTCTCCATCTCACTGTCTTTTGTAATGCGCCGTCGGCCATCCCAGCTGTCTGGTCCTCGCCCGCCGCCTCTGCACATCCCTCCTGCTTGGAGCCGCCCACCATCCGCCTCCACGAGGCCCCTGCTCCACCCGCCAGCCCCTTTCCCTGCCTGTCTCTGGGCCCCTGCTTCTGCCCGGTCTCTTCTTCCCTCCTGTCCGTACCGCCCCCCCCCCCCCCCGCCCAATGTCTGCGTCTGTCTGTCTGTCTGTCTGCCAGAGGGGCCTGTCAGGCCACCGACGATGACGACGACTTTGAGTCTGGGAGAGCTCACCCTGCAGCCCACCCTCCAGGGACCAGCGCCGCAGGGACTGGCTGCTGCCCGGCCGCCCCCACTGCCTCACTTGAGAAACTGGGGCCACAACGGCCTCCTTCACCATCTTAGCTCAGACCCAGACCGCAGGAAATCAGCGAAGGCCACAAGCCTGGAACCTGTGGGGTGTGGGTCTTTCCCCTCTGGGTACCCTCAGCCTGCTCTGCTGTTGGTATAAAGGCCTCCAGAAGTTCTGGGGTGACTGTGCCCTATTCCAGCTGAGAGGGTAGGGGAGGGTGGCTGGCTGTCCCGCCTTTACCTCAAGAAAGGAGTTGGCACTTCTGTTCCCTCTTTCTTGCTCCTAGATCTGATCTTGGGGTCACACTGTCAGCAGAGTTGTTTAGTCAGAACCCAGAACCAGGTTCTTTTTTTTTTTTTAAAGATTTTATTTATTTATTTTCAGAGAGGGAAAGGAAGGAGAAAGAGAGAGAGAGAGAGAAATGTCAATGTGGGGTTGCTGGGGGTCATGGCCTGCAACCCAGGCATGTACCCTGACTGGAATTCGAACCTGCGACACTGGTTCACAGCCCGAGCTCAATCCACTGAGCTACGCCAGCCAGGGCCAGAACCAGGTTCTGAGGAGAGCAGGTATATGTCAGCAACATTAACGGGCTCCTCCTGGGAGGGGAGGGAAACAGACAAGACACTGCAGCTCAGAAAAGGACTGGTGCTGTGACAAAGCCCCTGGCCCTGGATGCACAAAGGAAGGTTTCTAATCCTGTCTTAGGGGTCAGGGAAGGCTTCCTGGAGGAGGCGACCACTTGGTTGAGACTTAAAGGATACACAGCAGCTGTCCAGGCTTTCTCTGTTTCTCTTTTACAGAGGGCCATATTGCAGGGAGCATGCTGTGGTTTTAAGGGGTTAGTTGTAGAGTCAGCTGCATTTGAGCTGCCTCTCAAGCCTTCACCCCGAGTCCTAGCAGTTCTACCTTAGACCATATATTTATATATATAAATATATTTATATTTATATATATTAATACCTCTGAGCTTCGGTTTTCTCATCTGCAAAAGGGATACGCCAACAGTACCTTTATCTAAAGGTTGTAGGAAGAACTGCACTAGCTCTCAGGGAGCTGGGTCTCGGTGGCCCCCTTCCCACCCTCAGAGAGCTTTCCTGCCCTGTTCACCCAAGGTGGCTGAGTGGGAGGCTGGGGTGGAGTGGGTTCTGACCTCTAACTGCCCTCCCCTTCCTCGGGGCAGGGTGTGTGGGGCTGGGCCTTCTCGTTGGGAATGGAGTCCAGGGAGGCCTGGGCAGCAGGGTCTGAAGCACACGGGCCTTTGTTCCAGCATAAAGGCTCTGCTGGCCCCTTTGTGTGGAGATTAGCAGAGGCCGTAGGTGTGCGAACCGGCCCTGGCTCTTGCCTCATTAACCCAGGCCTGGGGTCAGCAGCGGACACCCATTCTCAGCTGGCCTGAGCTGACACCTCTGGGGCGGTGACATCTCTGGAGATGGCTGCAGAGTCTTCTCCAGGGCAGGGGAGCTGTGGGCTGGGGGACTTGGGGGAGGGGGAGAGGGGTGCCTGGCAGGAATTGGTCTCCAGTGTTCTGGCCGTTGCTGGGTAACCTTTCTTCCCACCCTGATCTTTTTTCTTCTGTTGCTCCCGCAGAGACCCTTATGGACACAAAATGGGTGACATCTGAGTTGGCGTGGACATCTCATCCAGAAAGTGGGGTAAGACTTCTTTCCTCACCACTCGCTTCTCCAGCATCCACCCTCCTCGCCTTCCCAGGGCTGGAGGAAGGCCGCCTCTCTCGCTGCCTGTCAGTTTCAACTCCTGCAGCACCCCCATCCTTTCCACCTGTCACCTGCCTTCTGTGCCTGACGCCCATCTCTGTGATATTTTTATCTCTCACCCTTCAACCTGCCTCTGTCCCTCTCCTACACACGTCATCTCTGTCCCATTCCTGCCCACCCCTCAGCCTGTCTGCAGCCCGTCCTGCCCCTCTCCGGCCTGACAGCCCTTGGCGTGTCCACCCTGCCTCCTTCCTTCCTGGACCCCTGGGAGCGGCACTGGCTTGGGAACCAGGAAACCTTGGGTCCAGACCTCTAACTCGCTCTGTGACCTTGAGCGAGGCAGTTTATTTCTGGGCCTCCATTTCTTGACTTAAAATCCTATAGCCCCGACATCTCTGAACTATTCTAATTAGCCTCCCTAGTTGGCCTCCACAACTGCACTAAGCTCTGGAGCACCGAGGCTGACTGTGAGTGCTTGGACAAGTCCCTGCCTTCCCAAGCCCTGACTTCCTTTTCTCTGGAGTGGGGACGACAGAGTCACCTTCCTGTGAGGTTGCTGTAAAGGATAAACGTAATAGCCGATTGGATTGCATGCTTACTCTCTATCAGGCACTGTTACAAGCCCATTACATGTGTGACTTCCTCACAGCCCCATTTACTTCCAGTCAGCCTTTTTTTAGAGACAATGAAACTAAAGCACGAAGATAATAAACATTAGGGGCAATCCTCACATGGTACTTATCAAGTGTCCTGAGTGCTTTATTCATTTAAAGTCATTTATTCCCTGTACATCTTCATTCACGCCATGTCACAGATGGGGAAGTGGAGGCAGAGGGAGGTTGAGCGACTTGTCCGCAGTTACACAGCCAGCCGAGAGCTGCGATGTGAGCGCAGATAGTCTGTGTGTTCAGCTGCTGCACCGCAGAAGCATATCTGCGAAGTAAACACAGCAGATCCGGTCGTCTGGTAAGCACTTGGCAAACGTTGGTACTCACTCCGTCTTTTCACTCGGTCCGTGCACAGTGGGAAGAAGTGAGTGGCTACGACGAGGCCATGAACCCCATCCGCACGTACCAGGTGTGCAACGTGCGTGAGTCAAACCAGAACAACTGGCTTCGCACGGGGTTTATCTGGCGGCGGGATGTGCAGCGGGTCTACGTGGAGCTCAAGTTCACTGTTCGTGACTGCAACAGCATCCCCAACATCCCTGGCTCCTGCAAGGAGACCTTCAACCTCTTCTACTATGAGGCTGACAGCGATGTGGCCTCGGCCTCCTCCCCCTTCTGGATGGAGAATCCCTATGTGAAGGTGGACACCATCGCCCCCGATGAGAGCTTCTCGAGGCTCGATTCTGGCCGTGTCAACACCAAGGTGCGCAGCTTCGGGCAGCTGTCCAAGGCCGGCTTCTACTTGGCCTTCCAGGACCAGGGTGCCTGCATGTCGCTCATCTCTGTGCGTGCCTTCTATAAGAAGTGTGCATCCACCACCGCAGGCTTCGCCCTCTTTCCCGAGACCCTCACGGGGGCCGAGCCCACCTCACTGGTCATTGCCCCTGGCACCTGTATCGCTAATGCTGTAGAGGTGTCGGTGCCACTCAAGCTGTACTGCAACGGTGACGGGGAGTGGATGGTGCCTGTGGGTGCCTGCACCTGTGCCTCCGGCCATGAGCCAGCTGCCAAGGAGTCCCAGTGCCGTTGTGAGTGGGGACTGGCCTTGGGTGGGCGGGGAGGGAAGTGCTTGGGCCACAGCCGCCTATTGCCCCCTGTCTGCTGCTCCCTACCCGCCAGACAAGGTAGTCTGGCATCAGGTCTGGGGTGGGGGCCGGAAAGGGAAGAGGGGTATCAGGTGCAGAGAATGTCATGCAAGGAGGGAGATGAGAAAAAATATGGGGAGATACAGACATAAAAAGAGAAAAAAATGAACCTTGAAGGGAGACGTGGAGAATGAAGGGAGACGTGGAGAATCCTTGACAAGGAGGTGCCCCGGGAACCTGGTCAGACTCAGGAGGCCGGCAGAGATGCGTACTTGTCCCTGCTCAAGGGTGTGCCTCACCCTGGGAGTACAGCTGTGTGGGCGGAGGCTGTGGGCACCCCGTGCTCGGCCCTTTCACCTTGGGGTCTTATCAGCTCTGTGACAGGCATTATTTATGCACCGTAGACAGGGGCTCAGTCCCTGGAATCCGAGTCCTGCCTCTGCCTCGTAGCACCTGTGAGAACGTGGGCGAATTACTTAACTCTCGAACCTGTTTCCTCATATGCAGAAAGGGGACAGTAATGATTTCTTCATGGCGATGTGGTGGGGCTCGAGTGAGCCGAGGCATGTGAAGCCTTGGAGCAGTGCCTGGCGCATGGTGTGCACCAGCTCTGCGGGAGCTCAGCTGTGACTCTCGGAGCCTTGGGATGCGTGGCGATCAGGCATCGTTTGTCCTTACCTCACACACAGGAGCTTAAGAGGCTTTTGCCCCGTGGCTTGCCGAGACTTATGTACTCGACTTCTCTTATTTGAGGCTCACCACCACCTCGTAAGGCCAGTCCAGTTATGTCCCCTATTCTGCCAAGAAGGAAACTGAGTCTCCAAGAGGCTCTGCACTCGAGGCCTCACAGCTGGGATTGCGGGAACTGGGCCTGAAGCCTGGGCCAGTGATCTGTCACGCAGGACAGGATGTCTCGGGCCTCGTCTTTTGTCGCCTCTGCTCAATACTCTCCCGTGGCACTTGAAGCCTGTAGCTTTGTGGGGTGGCAGCTGGCTCTAAGCATAGCCCGAAGCGCGAGGGGGTTGGCGGCCCCAAGCCGTCTTTGAGGCGGGGTTGGGTGTCGTCCTGAGAAGGTGAAGAGCGCCTTGCCGGGCCCCTCTCACTTCTCTTTGGGAACCTGCCCCCAGACTTCCTCTTCCTAAGTGGAGAAAGGGGGTGGGGGTGATGAGCCTGACAGCCTGAAGAGGGGCTAACACTCTGCAGGTCCCTGGCAGGAAATGCATGCTGGTTCCCACAGCAACCAGGCTGGCCTGGCCTCTGCCCCCTCCCCCACTGGCTCTAAAGAGCTTGGATGGAATATCACCTTAGGGAAGGGAGAGTAAACCCCAGAGAAAGACATAGCCCCAACTCTGGGCATTCCACACTCTGCATGACCTCCCTGGAGGTAGTCATTTGTGGATAGGGTGACCACATGCTTTAGTGTGTCCAAGGCCCTTCTAGTTCATGCCCATTGTCCTAACATGATTATTACTAGTGACCCCTTTCACTCTCAAAATATTCCAGTTTGGATAATAAATTATATGGCCATGCTAGATCTGGGGAACATACAGAGCCCAGGTCCAGGGCCCTAGTATAGATGGTAGAGGGCAGGAGAGAGGGCAGAGAACTGATGGTCAGGCATCCAGCTCTGGGCTCTCTTTGAAGCCTGGGGATCCCCTTGTGGATGCTTTGAGGCCTCTGAACTCCAGGTGACCCCAGCTCTCCTGCCTGCTTTCTTTCTCTCCTTTTCTCACCCCTCAGCACCCACCCCTGCCCAAGAGCAGAAAGAAGCTGCCGCCCTGCTCCTGGAGGGTGGGGAGAGAGGTTGGCTGTGAGACTCAGAAGCCCCATCTCCAGCCTGTCCTGGTGTGGCCCTGAGGGTCCCTCGATTTTCCCTGAGCTCCAGAGAGGGGCGAGGCACCTGGGCGGGGTATAGGGTGCGGCCAGTTCAGTAGTGGTCTCTTCCCATCTTCCACCTCTTCCTCCTCTTCTCTTTTCCCGGCCTTGACAAGCCCAGGCCGTCTAGGCTGAAGTCTTCATCGGTGAGGCCCCAGGTGAGGGGGCAGCACTGGGGAGGAATCCGCTGATGTGGGATTTCCACAGGGCAAAAGGGCCTTTTGTAGCTGCAGCTGGAGTTAGGCAATAGCAGCATGGCCCCCACAGTCTAGGAGGTGGAGGGGCCAAGACCTGCTGGGGAAAGGCCAGATTCTCACAGCGGTGTGGAGGATTGGTTTCTGCAGGGAAGGGAGGTGAGCATGTCCCTCCTGTTCTTGCCCACAGCCTGCCCCCCTGGGAGCTACAAGGCGAAGCAGGGAGAGGGGCCCTGTCTCCCCTGCCCCCCCAACAGCCGTACCACCTCGCCAGCCGCCAGCATCTGCACCTGTCACAATAACTTCTACCGTGCCGATTCGGACTCTGCAGACAGTGCCTGTACCAGTGAGTGAACGCGCATCCTCGCGCTCCCCGGCTCCAGGCCTCGCCTCTGCAGGCCAGCCTCGGAGGGCGTAAACAGTCACGATGAGTATCTCCAGGCTCAGGAGGTTAGAGGTGGTGCTCAACATGGCACAGCTAGGAGATGGCTGGCCCTGAGCTTGATAGAGTTCAGGTGGGCTGGCTCAGCCCTTCCATTAACACTTCATGAGCACCTACTAGCTCCTAAGCATCAGGAACTGGCTGGGCCTCTAGCCCATCTCCCTCTGTGTAGAACTTCTGCTCTCTTCACTCAGCTCCAACCACAGAGGGGACCTCACATCCCTCAGGCAGCCTGGAGTCCCGCTCTCCCCCTGCTCTGGCCTTTCGTGTGCCAGGCATTGTACCAGGCACCAGGGAGGTGGAGGAGAATCCGATACAGTCACTGCCTAAAACACAGCCTGGTGGGAGGAACAGAGATGAAAACAGATAATGGCCACATACTGTGCTGAGTGCTGGGCTGGAGGGATGCCCAGGAGTTGTGTTATGGGAGTGCAGAAGACAGGGAGAGGATGAACGAGGAAGGCTTCCAAGAGGAGGTGACACCTCAAGTTGAACCTTGAAGACTAAATAGGAGTCTGCCCAGTAAAGAAGTATAGGAAATGAACTCTGCTTACTAAAGCAGAGGCAGGGGCAAGGAGGTGGGAAGCAGGTTGGAATGTGCAGGGACTCTGGGCAGCAGGGTGGTCCTAGAGCCCCTCACTCAGGGCCTTTTCCCTCCTTCTCCACAGCTGTGCCATCTCCACCCCGGGGTGTGATCTCCAATGTGAATGAGACCTCTCTGGTCCTGGAGTGGAGCGAGCCCCGGGACCTGGGGGGTCGGGATGACCTCCTGTACAATGTCATCTGCAAGAAGTGCCATGGGGGCCCTGGGGCCGGGGGGGCCTCGACCTGCTCACGCTGTGATGACAACGTGGAATTTGTGCCTCGGCAGCTGGGCCTGACAGAGCGCCGGGTCCACATCAGCCATCTGCTGGCCCACACGCGCTACACCTTTGAGGTGCAGGCAGTCAATGGTGTCTCGGGCAAGAGCCCTCTGCCCCCTCGCTATGCGGCTGTGAATATCACCACCAACCAGGCTGGTGAGGAGGGGACCCGGGAGGGAAGGGCCGGGGTCATCTTCCTGCACAGAGCTGAGGTTTCCCAGGGCCTGCCAGTGGGCCACCAGGGGACCACGGGAACTGGGTCCTTGGGAAGGGTGCCAGGGCCCAAGGAGCCCGTGGTGAGCCACCCACTCTTCCCCCAGCCCCGTCTGAAGTGCCTACACTCCACCTGCACAGCAGCTCAGGCAGCAGCCTGACACTGTCCTGGGCACCCCCCGAGCGGCCCAACGGCGTCATCCTAGACTATGAGATGAAGTACTTTGAGAAGGTCAGAGACTCAAGGGGCAGGAGGAGGCCTTGGGACGAGAAGATTATCCCCAGATAGTGTCAAGGGCCCTTGGGAGTAAGGCCTTGGGTCCTGAGGGAGCCGTGGGGTGGGCCTGAGGGTGGGCAGGGGGCGATTGGCCTCAGGGCCCACTGAGACGCCTGTGGAATCCCTGCTGGTGTTGCAGAGTGAGGGCATCGCCTCCACCGTGACCAGCCAGAAGAACTCGGTGCAGCTGGACGGGCTGCGGCCCGATGCCCGCTACGTGGTGCAGGTCCGCGCCCGCACTGTTGCTGGCTATGGGCAGTACAGCCGCCCCGCTGAGTTTGAGACCACGAGCGAGAGAGGTGCGTGCCCTCCGTGCCCGTCCATGCCCCAGCCCCCACTTTCCCTCCCTCCACTCACCAGGGCCCTCTCTGTCTCCAGGCTCCAGTGCCCAGCAGCTCCAGGAGCAGCTTCCCCTCATCGTGGGCTCTGCCACAGCTGGGCTCGTCTTCGTGGTGGCTGTCGTGGTCATCGCTGTTGTCTGTCTCAGGTACTCCCGGGCCCACGTTTGCTCCTGTGGCCGACAAGAGCTTCCCGTTAGCACCCTAGCGTGCACACGCATAGGTGAATCATTGCCATGTCGAACGCAGAGCCACAGCCTCCCTGGGCCCCGGCTCTCCTTGCTGGAGGGGTCCTCTCTGGTCCATGTCCACACCCACATCCACATCCTGTTCCCTCTGCGTCCACTGAAGCTACTGGCCGAGTGGACCAAGTCCACTGAGCCCCTTGCCCCAAGACCCAGTGGCTGCTGTAACTGCCAACCTAGCAGCCAAGCACTGGTCCATCCCCTGGGCACACTACCCCTCCTGTGTGCCCTAGGGCCCCCCAAACAAGGGTTGCTGTGGGAGTTGTCTCAGGCCTCCCCCCCCCTCCCCCCCTCCAGGAAGCAGCGGCATGGCTCTGATTCAGAATACACGGAGAAGCTGCAGCAATACAGTGAGTTTGACTCCTTAAGCTCCCTTGGTCCCCACAAGCCTTGGAGATGCCTCCTCCTGCTTCCAATCAGTGCCATTTCCTGAGCCCCTACCTTATTCCTGCCAGCCTCAGAGATGAATGAGATGTGACCCCTGTCCTCCAAGGCAGTTGAGTCCTGTGAAAAAGACAAGATGCATGTACACAGGAAGCAGTGAGAAAAACAATTAAGTGTTAAGCTGGGTGTTCCTGTCATAAAGGGCACTAAGAGTTCAGAGAGGAGGAAGGCTTCCTGGAGGAGGTGGCCTGCCTCTGAACAGGATATAGAGAGGTGAGGGAGAGCCCTCCTGGCTACAGGAGCCCCTGGAAGGTAGTGGGTGGGGTGGGGAGAGTGCCCAACTGTGGGGGCAGTGAGAAGACCGGTCTGACAGCTGCCGGGGAGTGGGGCCAGGTAGTTGCAGCCAGCCCTCGGAGGGTCGTGAGAGGCAGGCAGAGGAGTTGGGACTTGACTCCACCGTAGGTAATGGGAAAGGCTCTCAAGCCGAGGAGTAACATAATGAAACTATTGTTTGAGGAAGACAGGTATGCAGGTAGATTGGTGGGAACGGTCCAGAGGCAGAGCGCCCTGCTGGGAGGCCGTTGGAGTAGTTGGGGTGCTGAAGGCCTGACCGAGGTCAGGGGCGGTGTGAGTAAGGGGACGGGCAGATCTGGGAGAGGTTTGGACATGATGAGAGGTGCAGGTGAAAGAAGAACCCTAGGAGAATCCCACGATCATTATGGACACCAGTTCTCATGGAGGGGAGGAAAGCGGAGGAGGAGAGAGGGGAGGAGGGGGCAGTTGTGGCTTCAACAGAGAGGACTGTGGAGCTGGCTTAGCAGAGAGGTCACAGCCTGTGGTCCCGCTAGGGGTGACAGCCTGTGGGTGCAGGCTGATGTGTCTCCTCGCCATCCCCAACCTGAAGTGTGGGCCCACCTTCTCTTTCTCTAGTCGCCCCCGGAATGAAAGTTTACATTGACCCGTTCACCTACGAGGACCCTAATGAGGCGGTGCGGGAGTTTGCCAAGGAGATCGATGTGTCCTGCGTCAAGATCGAGGAAGTGATTGGAGCTGGTGAGTGCCTGGGGGCACGAGGGGGAAGAGAGGTTGGGGGAGGAGGGGTTGCCCCAGAGGGGGGCTGCGTGTGTGAGCGATCCCAGAAATAATTTACTCCCTGTGCCCCGCGCCCTGCAGGGGAGTTTGGGGAAGTGTGCCGGGGTCGGCTGAAACAGCCTGGCCGCAGGGAGGTGTTCGTGGCCATCAAGACGCTGAAAGTGGGCTACACTGAGAGGCAGCGGCGGGACTTCCTAAGCGAGGCCTCCATCATGGGTCAGTTTGACCACCCCAACATAATCCGGCTGGAGGGCGTGGTCACCAAAAGTCGGCCAGTCATGATCCTCACCGAGTTCATGGAGAACTGCGCCCTGGACTCTTTCCTCCGGGTAGGAGCCAGCCCCAACCCCTCACCGCTCCCCTGCCCGGGAGAGCTGGGCCGAGGAAGCCAGCCCCTCCCATGGGCCACACAGACCCTGTTCTCAAGTCCATAAGTGTTTATCAGGGTGGCATGGTGTGGGGCCTTCAGAGCCAGGGAGACCAGGGTTCTCATCCTGACTCTGCCCCCACTGCCTGCGTGACCTCAGGCTTTGCTCAGCCTCCGAGTCGAGCTGCCTTGGCTGCAAAATGGAAGTGGAAAGTTTTGTTTGGTTACTCACCGGGATTAACAGAGATGTTGTATACAGATGCCTGTCACAGAGTAGGGCAGCTTCCTTACCCTCAGTGCCCTCTGGACGTGGTCACAGGGATACGCAACGCACAGTCTTGGAGGACTTGGAGAGGGTGGGCAAGCAGGCCGTGGGCAGGCCCTGGGCCAGGAGGGAGGGGATGGGTCTGCCTGAGCTTGCTCATTGTCTCCAGCTCAACGATGGACAGTTCACCGTCATCCAGCTGGTGGGCATGTTGCGGGGCATTGCTGCTGGCATGAAATACCTGTCCGAGATGAACTACGTGCACCGAGACCTGGCTGCCCGCAACATCCTTGTCAACAGCAACCTGGTCTGCAAAGTCTCAGACTTTGGCCTCTCCCGCTTCCTTGAGGATGATCCCTCTGATCCTACCTACACCAGCTCCCTGGTACAGGAAGCAGCCGGGAGGGAGACTGGGGGCGGGGCCAACCAGGCAGGGGCTCAGGGCTGGGGACCAGCCCGGAGTCATAGGGTGAAGGGCATGTGCGCCCCCCACCAGGGTGGAAAGATCCCCATCCGCTGGACTGCTCCAGAGGCCATAGCCTATCGGAAGTTCACCTCTGCCAGCGATGTCTGGAGCTACGGAATTGTCATGTGGGAGGTCATGAGCTATGGAGAGCGACCCTACTGGGACATGAGCAACCAGGATGTGAGTGGGGCCAGAGTGGTGGGGGGAGGGGGGGCAAGAACTGTCCATGGCTGGGGAGCAGAGTGGTTGCTCACTCCAGGTGTCCCTGCTTTCGGCTCAGGTCATCAACGCTGTGGAGCAGGACTACCGGCTGCCCCCACCCATGGACTGCCCCACAGCCCTGCACCAGCTCATGCTGGACTGCTGGGTGCGGGACCGGAACCTCAGGCCCAAGTTCTCCCAGATTGTCAACACCCTGGACAAACTTATCCGCAATGCTGCCAGCCTCAAGGTCATTGCCAGCGCCCAGTCTGGGTCAGTACCTCTGCACCTGTTCCTACCCTGCTCTCGAGCCAGCAGCCCTCCCCCTTTTTCCCCTAACATCAGGACTCACCAGGTCCCCTTCTTCCACAGCATGTCACAGCCCCTCCTGGACCGCACAGTCCCAGATTACACAACCTTCACGACAGTGGGTGACTGGCTGGACGCCATTAAGATGGGGCGGTACAAAGAGAGCTTCGTCAGTGCGGGGTTTGCATCCTTTGACCTGGTGGCTCAGATGACCGCAGAGTAAGTGTGCCTCAGACTGGGCAGGGCAGGGCAGGGCCGGGCCGGGCAGGGGTTTCTGAGCTGAGCTGGGCCTGGGGGTGGTGGGCAGGAAGGGAGAGACTGAGCCTGCCCTTGGCCCATCTGCAGAGACCTGCTCCGGATCGGAGTCACCTTGGCTGGCCACCAGAAGAAGATCCTCAGCAGTATCCAGGACATGCGGCTGCAGATGAACCAGACACTGCCCGTGCAGGTCTGACACCCAGCTCCCACGGGGTTGCACCCCCCAAGGACCACAGAGGGACTCTGACCAGTCAGCTGGACTGTTGGACTTTTGGATGCCTGGCCTTAGGCTATGGCCCAGAAGATGAAAGTTTGGGGAGGGCCCAAGCTGGGACTTCTCCTCCAGGCCTGTGCTCCCTCCCCAGAAATTGTGCCCAACACCTCTTCATATTGAAGATGGATTAGGAGAGGGGTGATGACCCCGCCTCAGGCCCCTCGGGTGCCCAGGCCTTCCTGCTCTCCAGTGGGAGACCTCCACCACCTCAGACTCGACTGTTCTTCAGTGCCGGAGGTCCCGGCAGGGGCAGGTGGGAGATAAGCCTGGGTTCAATAGGGCCCAGCCCTGGCAGGGGTGTGGCCCCCCAGGTAGGCAGAGAGCAGTCCCTCCCTCAGGAACTGGAGGAGGGGACTCCAGGAATGGGGAAATGTGACACCCCCACTCCAGAGCCAACTGGCACCTCCAGTTTGCACAGGGACTTGTTCTGGGGGGCTGAGGGCCCTGCCCCGCCCCCACCCTTGGTGCTGTCATAAAAGGGCAGGCAGGGGCAGGCTGAGGAGCAGCCCTTGCCCCCCAGAGACTGACTCTCAGAGCCAGAGATATGATGTGTATGAGTGTGTTTGTGTGTGTGCACGTGCTGGCCTGCACAGAGAGCGTGGGTGAGTGTGTAAAGGCTCGGCCCTATGCCCTGCAGCGGGGCCAGCTGGGCCGTCAGTGGAATAAAGGCAATAAGACGATTCTCTTGCTCCTTCTCGTTCCGCTCCCGAGGCAGGATGCCCTGGTGCCCTGGAGTTCACAGTCCCTGGTGGCCAGCCCTTCAGAATTCCCTGGAGCCACTGGGAGGCCAGATCCAGGCCCCCCGCCCCCCGGGCTCAACTTGCCTCCTTTTTTGCTGTAGTGTCAGTGCATCTAACTTCTTGGCAGTGGGGTGACGACAGGAGAGCACAAACTACCCCGGAGCTTCCTCCAGGGCCCAGCCTTCCTGGGCGGAGGGGTGGACCCTTGAGTCCAGATGGTGTGTTACAGGCAGCATCCTTTCACACCCATTGCTTCTGAGGGAGCTGAGGGTAGAGAGGGTTGGTCAGCTCCCAGAGTCACATGGCTGAGGGCCAAGGGGCGGAGAGCCCACTGGAGTTGAGATGCAGAGGCCAGCTCCTTTCACCAGACACTGGCCCAGAGGTGTGGCTAGTCTTTGCCGTGCTACTACGCTCCAGGCATTGGGCTAAAATGCTCGCTCAATCTCTACATGGATCTTATTTAATCTGACAACAACCCACCGGGGAGGGAAGTATTTTTATCTCCTTTTTACAGAGGAGGAAAGGGAGATGTTAAATAACTTGCCCCAAGTCAGAGTCTTGAACCCGTGAGGCCTGGGCTGGGGCCCCTACCCAAAGACTGCCTGCACACTAGAAAGGTTCAGAGGGTAAATAGCAAGAGCCAGGGAGAGGGTCGGGGAAACAGCTTCTGTAAATGTCCAGGGAGAAAGCGCGGGAGGCGCCCAGAGACCCCTTGGATGCTGAAGAGAGGTAGGGGGCGCAAGTGCAGTCGTTTTTGCAGTGTCAGGAGGGGCCCTTGGGCAGCAATAACCCCTTGCGTGACATGGAACAGGTTTCCAAGGTATCAACGCGGCCTAAATTAGAGGGTAGTTGACTGGGCCCATGGGGGGAAGGGCGTGGACAAAGCCTCCTAGATCTCCGGGTTCATGTATCGAGGCCCCTCACATTTCTGGGATGCTTCCAGGCTAGCCCAGCGGTTGAGGAATTCTAAATGGGGGTGGTTGCTAGGGGCTGACGGGGCTTCAGGCCCGGAGTCCTGGGACAGCTCCTTTAGGTCAGGAGACCCGAACCGGGAGGGCAGAGGCTCCGGCTGCCGCTGGCTGCCTGGCAGGGGAACAGGGACCCAGGCGGCGGGGGCGCGGCGCAAGCTCCCTGGGCTGCTCCAGCCCCTCCGCTGCGCTGAGACCGCGCCCGCTCCTTAGTATTCCCCCCACGGAGCCCAGTGCCGCGCTGCAGTAGCTGGCCCGGGGGAGGGGCACCCCGCAAAGCTCTGGCCCACCGCGTCCCCACCGCAGGGCGGGGGTGGGGATGGAGCTCCTCCGCGAGGCCCCGGCTGGGGACTCTGCGGAGGGCGGGGGGTCGGGGAACGTTGCAGGGGCCCGAGGTCGCCTTGGGCCTAGGCGCCAGAGCTGTCAACGGCATGAGGTGTCGTTGGGGGAGGGGACGCAATCCTGAGTGGCGTCCGGCACACCCTGCGCCACATTCCCCCTGAAGAGGATTCAGATAAAGGGGAGGGGGCTCTCCAATCTCCAGCTCAAGCATCCACTTCCTACTCCTCAGGCTCCCACACAGGGGAGGGTCCGTGGCCCCTTTCACTGCCCTATTCTGTCACTCTAACTGTATTAGCGGGAGTATGGAATGGGGTGTCTGCCGGAAGAGGTAAGACGTCGCCCCCTACTGGGTCCGCAGGAAGGGCAGGGTATTGGACTTGGAGCGCCAGAGTAGTGGGGGTTGGGGGCTGCAATGACCAGGGACACTTGGTGTGCACCCCAGGCCGAAGATTTCGAGGGACCTCTTGAACCCAGAAATCGGGGTGCATTTGGTACTCTGTTGGATGTGCCTGGGCAGCACATTGCACCTCCCTCCCTCCACGTGTGTCCGGATTGCCTGGACGCCCCTGCATGCACACCTCCTTTCCTTCACACACGCAAACAGCAGGCAGGGGCACACTACACTTACCAAAGCCACACCCACACCATGTCCCCAGGTCACCTCCCTTACTCAGGTTCAGAAGTCTTCAGTTCCTAGACCCTCCCTAGCCCCACCTCCCAACCCACACACCCTAAGAGATGGGGGGAAGGGATGCAAAGGAGGAAGGACAAAAGCCATCCTCTTCCTTGAAAGTGCCTCACCCCAGTGCATTCCTACCTGGGCAGCTCAACCAACCCAGCAACCTGTGTCTCATCTGAGAGGGCTGAGATGAGTTCTGAGACCCCTGAGCAGGGGTGCAGGGAGGAGCAGGTCATGGTTACTGCAGAGGAAGAATGAGGCTACTCAGGAGGGGCCTGGCTTTCCTGGAGGCAGATAAGGAGTGAAGGGAAGTGAGGTCTTAATCTGCCCAGCCTTGGTAAATTACACACACTCCTGGGGGTAAATAATTAGATCTCCAAGTTAGTACTTAAAATGGGAAGCCAGTGGGGGCGGAGGCGGGGCCGGGGGGCAGTTGCAGCTCCAAAAGGCTCATTTTGTGCCTCTCTCTATGCCTGAAGTCAGAGTAGGGAGGGGTAGGGAGAGCGAGCTGCTCCAGGCTGTGCTCAGCCCCTCCAGGGTGGGCCCATGAAGCAGGAACCTGGAGAGCAGCCTTTAGCCCTAAGCCTGGGTGGCCGGGCCCTGGCTCAGAACCTGGAAAGTCCGGGGCAGCCATAGTACTTCCGTGGGAAGGGCATAGATGTGGAGTGTAGGCAGACCTGGGGTGGAAGCCCGGCTTCCTAGTCTGTGACCTTGGGCAGGTTGACCTCTCAGTGCCTCGTGCCCTCATCTAGAAAAAGATGGAGTTAATCATTCCTGCCTCATGAGACTCTTACAAACATCAATCAGTTAGTACATGTAAAGTACGTGCTGGGATCATAGTAAGTACTCAAAAATGTCAGCTACTATTTTTATTAATATGAAGTTTAAATAAAATATAGGAACAGATAGGAAAGTGCTGAATAGTGCTTGGCACAGAGCAGGGTTCAAAGAAACCAAAGCACTCGGGGAAATCCATCAACCCCATTCCGCCCATGGGGATGCCGAACACTTTGATGCAAGCCTAGCCCAGGCCCCGGCCCATTTCCTGGGAAAAGGCTGTTGGGGCCCAGGTGGTTTGAAGGCAGCGAGAGCAAAGAAGCTCATTCAGGGATAAAGAACGAAGCAAGTGGCTGAGGAAGCCTGGTTTCTTCATTTCTCCCTTTGGCTCACTGATCCTGGGTCTGGAGGGGGAGGGGGCTCCTTCCCTCCAATATTCATTCATTCTTCAAATCTTTAGTGGACATCTGCTATGCACCAGCCTCTGTGGTGAACACTAGGGATGGTGGAATGAGCAAGAACAGATTCAGCTACTGCTTCAGAGACCTCAGTCCAGCAGGGACGTGGAGACCATTCAAACAACTGTAGAAAGAAATGTATATAATCCAGTGGAGATAAATGTTACCTATGTGGGACCGAATGATAGCTCTGGGGACCTGAGCTAATTTTGGGCAAGGCTAAGGGCCTGAGACCAGTTACCCAGGCCCTGGAGAGGGAGCTGGAGCCCCCATCACCATCCAGGTCCTTTCAGCCTTTTGGTGTCTGACCCTGAATATGTCTTCATTCACTGCCTCCCTCATTCATTCATTTATTTTGTGTAACTTCATGGAGCCCTTGCATATGTTAGTCTCAGTGTGTGGAGCTGGGGAAGTAGAGATGAACTGACTACAGCATCACTCCCTGGAGGTACACACAGCTCAGAGGGGAACCCTATATATAAGTCAAATAAGACAATGTGACGATGTGACAAGGTAAGTGCTATAGCTAGGTAAGGACCAGGGACTGTAAGGAAGGGACCCAGGCTAAGCATTCTGTCAAAGAAGACTGCCTAAGAATGTGACTTGACTTAAGCCTTGAAGGCTGTTAGCAATTAGCCATAGGGGAGAGGAGAGCAGTATATGCAAAGGCCCTGGGGCAGGTAAGAGCAGGGGTCCATTAGTTAATGTCATATGTCCATGACCTTGTTCCTTCCTCATTCGAACTCAGAGGACGAGGAAGGAACAGGGGCATGGATATATGACATTGACCAAGCCTTCTATTTTCCCATAATTCAACCCCAGCTGGGGCCATATGCTTTCCACAGCCCAGAGGGCCAGCCTTGGGCACCTGGCCCCAGCAGCTCTACGACTCCACAGTGTTCTTTGGACTCCCTGTAGGTTGCTACTTCTGTAGTCCTCTACCCTGCAGCAAGGCACATTTGCCCACGGCCACCTCTGAGAAAATGATTCTCTCTATCCCCATTCCCACAGAAGAGCTTGGAGCGAATACATGGTTTGCCTGAGATCGCAGAGCCAGTCGATGGCAAAGCAAACTCCCAAACTGGCCTACTCCGGTCCTGCTTCCATTTTCTTCCCACTACGTCAGGATGCCTTGGGAGAGGGCCTAGGAGAATCTAGAAATGCTGCACCTGGGTGGTGCATACGGGCCCTTCCTGGGCCACTTCAGAGTGAGCTCTCCCCGCCTAGGGAGGGCCTGCACCCAGGAGCAAAGGCTTCCTGGGCTCTCTGTTCTCAGAGAAAGGGCGGGAGAAAGAGGAGAGTGAGAGTGGGGAGAGGGGGAGGGGGGCCCCAGGAGCTGAAGGCACTTGTCAGTACAGTCCGGGAACGGTATAGGGTTCCAGCTGGGGGGTGGGGGCACAGGTCCGACAGGCAAGCAGCCCTGTCCCTCCACTTTCCCTCCCTGCCCCTCTCTGTTTCTCATTAATTATTCCCATCTCACGGAGCAGGAATGAAAACAGACTCAGGATCTGGCTGGAGGCCTGCTGTGACATCAGCCCAGAGGTGGCTGCCCTGACCCTGACTGCTGGGGGCTGGGGAAGACCCACTTCCCCACTTTGTCCCGAACTGACAGGGAGAAGGAGAGAGGCAGGAGACGAGTCTCCCTTCTCTGGGCACTGAGCTTAGAGTAGGTGAGAGAGGTGGTGCTTGCCCTGGGGGACCGGGAAAGGGTGTGTC